CAAGTGTAAGATTCTGCAACAGTGGTGGTGTAGGGCACACACAAAATAAAACCAATCTCAACCAACTTTGTGTGGGTGTTTGAAAGCGTGTCCTTGGTTGGATTGTATCTGCAATGCTACCATCAGCCCCGTGGATATCATTTGCCATAACAGCGACAGATGTCTGGTTCAAACTCCCACCGAGGCACCTTTTCAAACAATTAGATACTTTTTCGTAGATAAGCTATAGGCCCGATAAAAACTCTACATCATTGTTCCTTTATTAGTGACCTGTTCCTACAATTATTTGATTATACAATACATAGTACCACGTTTATATTTCAAATTAAAATGGTTTAACCAATTAACAATTTGTATTTCAGATCTAAAATGTGTCCCATCCTATCTATATACTATCGACCGATTTAATTTATTATACTATTGTAAAAACCATTTAATATTTTAATCCTAATATCCAATACGGCACAATCCAAATACAGATTTGACAGTCCACGATACGTCTCCAAAGATTAGGAATATATTAAAGCAAATAACTTACTCAAAACAATCCTTTTTCAAATTCGGTCGTCATAAATTTAAACTAATTCATTTTAAAGATTGTATTTCATAATGTCAACATCAGCAACGAGACCATTGTCATATCGGCCGTTTTTATGTCTAATATGGTTTCCCTTATGGGTTTTTTTTTTTTTTTTTTTTTTTTTTTTTTTTTTTTTTTTTTTATAAAAGAAAACTTTTATGAAGATCAACAAAGTTAATTCAGCACAAATGCAACATAACACAAACGACCATTATATAGCTTAGGTATCATTATTTTATTTAGTGATTCATTTATTACATAAGGAGCTCCTTACCATAAGCCATGCGAAGGCACTTAAATGAATTAACATAAGAAAAAAATACACAGCATCTAAACTGTAGGCCTGTACTTAAAACATTGAGGCCTAAACGATTACAGATTTAATTATGGATAAAATGGTCCAGACATGAGTCGCTCCTGAGTCCAATGGTAATAAAACCTTCAAAAATATATTCTGTTTCATTCAGATCATAATATCATATTCTAATCATGTGTGGGACGATTTGTACTATGGACCATGTGTCCCCATGGGTCCGAATGTTCCTCCTATAATACAGGTGACGACAAAATCCATGCTTCTGAGGCAACTATTAGGCTATACTTAGACTGTGTAAATTATTCACGACGTCATTCACGCCCTCTGTGGGCAAAATATCAGTTGAAGTCTAATATATGAGTTTATTTATCATATTGACTATTTCAATGTGGTTATTCCATGTGTTCACGTGATAAACCGGGTGATTCAATATAAACTAGTCTAAAACCGGGCATACACTGCGCCGTATGATGGTCGTACGACCGTCGGCAGACGAATACATCTTCGCTTTCTTGGAGAGCTTGACTACGCGAAGCCGTCTGCTGATTTTCGGTGGCAAGTCTGAGCAGATTGTTATTGAAAATAATCAGTTGCGCGCGCTTAATCCCGGAGTTGCATCGGTCGACCACCGTCGGCGGAGTGCATGCCTGACTAATAGGCGCCGTACCACACAAAAATCGCAGGGATAAGAAATTGAAACAGGATTAGCAAAATGAATATCTGCTCACGATTACATTTTCATCATTCTTATCGAATCAGTATGAACAATCAAAGGATCCCACTCAAATGAAATATTTAAAATCTGCGTTGTTTAAAAAATATTCGTTTTCTTTTCTCCAGAAATGATTAAAATAATAATTAAGTGCTGTCAACATAATTCCACGTCATTAGCTGAAGTTAACATCTGGGTCATGGTCTCCACCTTTAAAGATAGCATTGGTGTTCAATTCTTTCGTGTACCGTGGTAATCCTCGCCTTCTATTGTGAAATGCATAGACAGCGATCAGAAGACACACAAGTACTAGTACACAAATAAGAAAGCCTATACCTATACCCGTGCCAAAACTTGCGGGCTCATCCATCTGCCTTTTCTCTTGTTTTGTTTCTGAAAAATAAAAGTATAATCAAAGTTGATATCATTGTATCGTTTCTTGCAATTATATAACAGAATTGTTATAAGGAAAAGCGGGCTGCATAATCTGATTTTATAAATGTACACTATTAAATTTCAGTGTGAGCATTTTGATCCGTACAATTCGACAAAACAAAAAAAATACATAAAATTATCATGATACTCATAAGTGTTTGACTGTCTATTCATGCATAATATTGTGAAAGAAAATATCGTTGTATAGTTTCTTAAATTTATTACATTTAGTATATTTATTTATTTTTGTTAAATCCTGTGGACAGATACATAACAAAAAGAAACCAAAAATAACAAATAAATGAATGAAATTAAAATAAAATATAGAATTTGATATTAACCCTAATAACTCCACTCCATGCATATCTGACTTCGAAATGTTGGTGTAATATGCTGAGAAGCAGTTTGCCGGCCACACGATACAGATACATTAGATAGATTTGTTATAAGGAATGGTGTCCGCCTAATTTTTTTTTTTTGTCTATTAGACTGGTTATTGGCCTAAAGAAAAAGTGTGATGTATATTTTTTGTATTGTCTATTAGACTAGTTATTGGCCTGAAGAAAAGGTGTGATGTATATTTTGTTTGTATGAAATTTTTCATTTGTGTTGATCCAGCTGGATCAACACAATGAAAAATTTCATACAAATTATATTTGGATCCAAATGAAATTATTTCAAGATATATTTTCTTTATAGGAATGTTATTACATTTTATGTAGTCCTATACATTTTTGTAAAAAATTATATAAAAACTTCACTAAACGATTTATTAACTATTGTTACGTTATATATGATTATATTATTTATTAGTTTAATGTTTTGACACTGTTCTTAGAAAACAGATGTATGGTATGGAAAAAGTATAAGGACGAAATAAATATGTTGTAACTCTACAAAAAGAGAGAAAAAGTATAATCAAAAGTCATTTAACTTTCAATTGACAAGTGTTTAGAAGATTTTTTCTATCAGATAATGCATAGTTTTTATCTCTCCCAATTGGGAACGATTAAGTTCAGTATGATTGTATAATTTTCATGTTTTGTGCAAAAGTTGAACAAAAAGTGATTTAAAGCTTCATCATACCATTACATGGCTTTTCGTTAACGATGATATTATCAATTGCTATTCGTCCTTGATCCGTTGCTCCAGCAACACCCTCAATCAAATACTGAAGAAAAAAAACAAAACATAGAATAGTATCAACAGCTCCTTATTAATACTTTCAAGAGAACGACTTAAATAATACTCATGCTTAACATCATATTGCTGATGAGGATTATGATGGTGATAATGATGATAATAAAAATGGTAATGATAATGGTAATGGTAATTTTCTCATTATATAAATTATATATCAGTTATTACATACAAAGTAAGAGCAATTTTTTTTTTTAAATTTATTTATTTATTTATTTTTAAAAATTATGATAGGCCTATTTCTGTTATTTATTGTATTGTATTTAAATGCCTTTTATGTTTATATTTATTAATGGGGCAGCTGACTCTCAATGAGTTACAGTAAAATTTTGCTTAAGCTGCCCCTGACCATAATTTTTGTTGTACTGTACCTTTTGTAAATGTGTATTGGTCGAATAAATAAATGAAAATGAAATTAAATGAATATATATGGCATTGACAAGGCTCGTAATTGTGTAATAAATTGCCTCTGATGGGTTTCGATCCTGCGACCTTTCGCTGTCAAGGAGAGCGTCATAACCATTTGATAACAGAGGCTTCATGGTTAAACAGATTGAAGTAACTGCCAGATACTCGATTGCACAATACAAACAAATAGTTGCATATAATATAATATCAAGCCGTTAACACTGTATTTACAGTACTTTTAAGACGGAAGCAGTTTTTTTTTTTAAATTATGATAGGCCTATTTCTGTTATTTATTGTATTGTATTTAAATGCCTTTTATGTTTATATTTATTAATGGGGCAGCTGATTCTCAATGAGTTATAGTAAAACTTTGCTTAAGCTGCCCCTGACCATAATTTTTGTTGTACTGTACCTTTTGTAAATGTGTATTGGTCGAATAAATAAATGAAAAATGAAATGAAATGAAAATGATGATGATGATGATATAAGTAATAATGATGATGATGATAATGATAGTGTTTATGAATACGATAAGTAAAAATGATGATTTTTATATTTGTGTTATCAACTAATGTCTAACTTACCGTTACATTGTTTTCTTTTGGATTTATATTGATATACGCTGTTTTCCATTCATCGTCCTTATGTCCGGATATGCTCTTTAGTGGCTTGGTTACAATTGATCCATAGTAATTAGTCTTAGTTTTCAACATTAAAATATTAATCCGTTGAGTAACATCGCCAGTAGCTATATAGTCTAGAGACATACAATACTGGGTGTTTGGTTTCACCACGATGGTTCCTCTTAGGATGGCTCTTGCATGTGCTTTCTTGCCGTCTAAATCCAGTGCCATGATCGAGCCATGATCTTTACATAAGAAACACAAAATATGTTTAGCCCTTTAGCCCTTGATTGAAATTTCAGCCTATCACTCAAAATGTCGAAACCTTACAAATACCTAATAATATCTAATAATGATAATAATAATAATAATAATAATAATAATAATAATAATAATAATAATAATAATAATAATAATGTAACTTACTTTTCAAATATTTTTTATATTTTTTATATTTACTAGCATCTGATTTATTTATAAGTAGCCAATCAAATTCATCTCCGATATATTGATATATTCCACAGTCCTCAGCACCGGACTCGAAGTCACATGACTTTGGAATTGCCTTCTCTTCACTCTCTTCTGATTTGCATGGTCCGACTTCAAATGTGATGTCATCTAGAGCAATGTCTCCCTCATGGCCATTACCAACAATGGCTTCAAAAATAATCTATTTAATTACATAAAAAATGAGGTCTTAAATAGTGTTTACAGTTATATTTAAATATTTTATAATTTCTAATAACTTGTCAAACAAATATTGCTAATTAATAATAAGAAAATTAAAATATTTAATGTCGATTAAATTATATTTATGAAAATAGTTGATCATTTTTACATAATTTAGATAATAAATATATCTTATTATATTTTTTCAGCCTTGTATTCATTTTTCCATGTTCTTCAATTTAGCTTTATTTCCAATTTACTTCATAAATATAGGCAAATACAAATACTATAGAAATGAATGAAATTGGGCTGGAGAGGATAAATAATCTTATAATATCGAACTTGCGTCCACTCATTGAACCTAGGTTTATTGGTATGGATAAACAATGTTACCTATGAAACGCGCGTATAACTTTAGGACGTAGCTCATAAAAGATACAGTAATAATAATAGCAATATTAACAATAATAGCAGTGATAATAATAACAATACTCGCTTGCAGATTAACGTGTTGATTCGATAACTGATCCTTTCTACATGTTGTCACTGCATTTGTCTTTCCTACTATGTATCGCGTTAGTGGTTTGTGTCACATGTCATTGTTAAATGTGACCAAATGTGACAAATACTCTCAGATTTTGATCAATGAACTCACTCATGTGAATGGTAGGAAAGTTCTCATCGTATTGTTACCATTAACAATACTGAAATAAATATCTTCTTATTATATCAAGTTCCATATTGTGTTTAATGAAGTTGAATGATATCAAAAATGTGATGCTAGAAACGGGTTCACTTTATTGACTTCGCATGTTAATGTGCTTAACGACATTAGCGGACAAGTCAATTTCTTGCTAAAATTGTGTTACGTTTGCAAGAAAAAAATATGTGTATGGTATCAGAAGTAAAAACTTACAGTGATGAGGGTAAAATTTGTTAGAAAGCACTTTGTAAAAAGCATCGCACTTTTGGACCTCATATAGCCTTAAGTAAAATTTAATTAGCACTAGTGTACCTGAAGTACCAATCAAAGGAACTGAACCTTTCCTCGAGTGTCAACCATTCTTAATCAACTGAATAATCAGAATTTGATATTAATAGGCGTGGTTAGGAATACGCTTATGTCCCACAAATACCTATGTACAAACACACAGGTTTACGTTTACAACTGAACTTTTGGAATGGCTATCACCCAGCAAACACAAAACGTTCTTATAATGTTCGCGAACGTTGTGGTGATGTATGACACAAAATAACGTTCACACGTTGTAAGTTAACGTTCAAACGTTTGTGACTTTGTGAAATTAAGTTATAAGTACTTACATATGGTTCTACAAAATAACGTTCTTATCACCAAACTGTAACGTTATTATAACGTTCTTATAACGTAATATTTTTAGCTGGGCGGTTTGTAGAACCTTAAAAATATTAGCTGATTTGATTAGCCTAACGGTCATTACCTTAAAACTGAGGTCCACAATATCGTATGTTCCACTTCCTTCGTAGTCTTGATTGATCAAAACCATTGCTTTTTTCCAATTCTTTCCTTGGTTGCCCCTCTTGCTCCAAATTGACCGTCTATAGCTACCTGTATATAATTTGTATACATTCAGCGTTCCTACATGGTCGCCTTTCATATGGTACCAGAAGTTAAGGCAGATAGGCTCATCACGGCCGGCAATTGTCTGGGATGTAATTTTTGCCCTTTGACTTGGACGCCGTGGGTCGGATGTTTCTATATATATGTAGTGACCTAAGATAAAATAAAACAAAATGTGTTACTTCATATTTATATAAAAAAACATTAAAGTACATCAGGCATTCTGTCTGGTAGTTACAATGGGTTAATGATGGCGTATCCTAAACTGCTAGTATGTAGTACTAGTGCTGTTTAACACATGTACTAATAAATGAAATCAGTTACCATTTAAATTCCCCACGAAGCTGTAGTGGCGCAGTTTAGTTTGTGATTCGTCTGCATAAAAAGTAGAAGTGAAAAAGTTGCCTCAACGGGGAATTCAACCAAATTATTTCACTTTCTATGCAGACGCCTTAATCAACTGGGCCATTCTGGCTTCGTTTTAGTATGTGTATACACTGTTGTCGTTTATTTCAATACGTTAGTTTCTATAAAATAAAATGGCGCCTTACCTGTGGAATCACCGATAGTGTGGTCATTTACAGGTCCAGTATTTTTCGATCCTGTCGAACCTTGGTGCCAAATCCAATCAAAATTATCTGTAGTGTCCTGTTCATAGCCGCATAATGTCAAATTTTTCTCAAAGTCGCAATCGGCGTTGGGCAAACCTGGAGTCGGTGTAACTGCATTTATTTAAACATTAGATCAGTTAATGAGTATATTTTAAATAAAATTTAAGTGATATGTAAGATCCAATACTTAATTTCGGCATTCTTTTTGAAAAAATAATATGGTACTATTTATGAAGTTAAGCACAATTGAACAATATTTTTTAAGTCGTAATATAATGGTCATTGTTTATATGTGCTTGTAAGATAATTCATGAGCTATAACTTTCATATATTTTATAGAATAGTGTTTTTATTTAATTAGGCCAATAAAAAAAAATCCAAGAAAATGGGTAGGTCGGTAGAATTTTTTTTCTTTTAAATTATTTTTTAATTTTTATCAATAATGTGTTTATGCTTTAAAAGTAGAAAATACACCGAAATGCAACAAAGACCATTTTAAAATCTATATTGAAGAGAAAAACGATCGCATAACACTGTCGCATCACCTACTGTCGCAAGAATAGGCTAATCCATCCTTTTTAGTTCATTAACTTTTTTTTTCGATATAGTAAAAAAAAAAATTAATTAATTAATAAAGTGCCGACTCTCAATTTCGAATTTTTTGGGTCGGTGGGGCGTGGCCAACACAATATATATTTTTTTATTTGGCCTTATAGTATCATTATAGAACATAATATGCATTAGTACATTTTATACGTTTTCACTCATTAACGTTGATGATATACCGATTTTGATGAACTAAAAAATAAATTACTATTTATATAACTTAATATATATGACTTATTAGCATTTCGTCGTAAAGAGAAAGAAGTCCTCTCCAATTAAAGAACGCATAATACCGTTCCTATGTTATTTGCAAATTAAAATGGCTGTTAATTCTGTTTAACTTGTATTTGTTACCGGTATTTAATTTCGTAATTTGTTTTATCTTTCAATTTTAATTTCATCAATAAAATATTTCATTTCTGGTTTATTTTAAATTAATACTGTGGATAGGCCTATAACATCGAAATATAATGGTTGTTACATCATATGATAATATACCGTACTTACTGACTTTGCATGGTCCATTCGTCGTTGTGATGTCATCTAGGGCGATATTCGGATAAGTTGATGACCCTTTCGTTCCTACAAACATTATCTGAGCACAAAATACATACTGACGTTAGCTGTGAAATTTAGACCTATTTGCTAAAGTAGTGTATGCGTCGTATTGGGCGTGAAGCCGAGCACTCACTCCGTCGCACGACCGTCGTACGATGAAGCTAACTTTGCTCCTTGTGAGCGCTACACGACTTGACGCCGTCGCTGATTGTCGGTGGCAGTCTGAACGGATCGTCATTACAATGATCCGTTGCGCACGCGCCCTGGCGTTGCGTTCTTCATAGAATCGCGCCGGCCGACGACATCGGGGCGATTTGAGTGCCCGGCTTAGTCGAAATATGGAAGTTTGATGTGTTCATCAACATACATTTGTAGATAAGTCTGATTAATTAATTAATCTTTTTCATCTAATTATTTTCTCTTACTGGGCGGCTAGTCTGTGGTTGCTTCACTGTGTTTAGTTTTCGGTTTACCCTTCCTCCATATACCGTATTATATAAATATCATAGGCAACTAATGTAGGTATATCAATCTTACATAGAAATTTGAATCTTGTGGATATATCTCCAAATCCTGCTTTTGCCATGTTGACGATCTTTGATTGTAAATAGCCCAGAATGGATCCAACGGCTTGCTTTCTCCTTCTAGTACTAAGTATATGGCAAACTTGTCCACGGACCAGTGGTTGATATAAAAGAAAAATCTTAAACAAATGGTGTCCGTATTCATCTTTATCAATGGACTAACGAGTCTAGCGTCATCTCCGATGGAGTTAGAGTACAACGGATTGATATGAACAAATGCTCCTTGAAATGAAAAATAATCATAATGAAAGTATCAAGCAAGTGAAATGTTTATTTCATGTAGTAAGTAAAGGATGTAATTTATATATTCATGTCTCAAAATAATTTGTAGACATATTAACAGCTGATTTGAAAAAAAAAATTATATAGCGCATATCGACCTATGCACTACCCGTTCACACATTCATGACTATTATTACGGTAGAGCATGATTTTTTACTTCAAAAAGTCTTGCTCTACTGTAAAAAAATTCATATATTATGTGAAAGCGACCTACGTTGACATCTTATCTTTCTAAATGTACAATTCAATATTATAATTAAATATTGAAGGATGTTCCATATTTACAACGGTAGTAAATTTTTACTAAAATGCAAATATAGGTCTCCCTCCAAATAAAGTCTCCTCCATTTAAAGACCACATTTTGTAGTTCATTTTAAAGGATTCCATCTATTTAGAGACCAAAGACTATTGGCAGACCCAACTGAAATTTTCCCTCCCTCCAAATGAAAACACTATCAAATAAATAGTGATAATGAATGCATGTTTTCTATAATAAATTGCGTTATATATTACTGACACATATAGAGAAATATTAGCCAATGCACTGTTTTGTGTGCAGTGCTTTATGTATATTGAAAATGCTAATGTTAGTGGCAATGTTAGTAATATTTTAATGAAAAGACAACTTGATGTATAGCTACTATGGAATGTTTTATTAAGAATAAATAACAGCATGCAGTAACTGTTCATTCATTTTAAATTTTAAAACATGTATATGTATTATTTTATTTAATCTAAGGACCACATTTGTGTTGGTCAGGCCTGAAAAAAAGGAGGGAGAAGAAACAGTTCAATTGGTAAAATGTTACCTAAATGATTGGTGAGGATCGAATGCATGGCGGAGTATACAAATATAACTTGCTCAATTAAATTAATATCATATAATTTCAGAAGATTCCAGTTTGGAAAATAGATGCGAAGAATGAGACCGTGGTGGAGAACCAGATATGATCCTGAAAGCCTTTTTCTTTTGAAGAATTTGAAGTTTGTTGATGTTAGATGGATAGCTTATGTATTGCCCCAAACAATGTTGCAGTAGTTCAAGTAAGGAAGAATGAGAGAGCAGTAGAGAATACGAAGAACATTACGGGAAATAAATGAGGAAAGTCTAGAAATGATGCCAAGGCTTTTGGAAATTTTACTCTCAACTTCGCTTATGTGATTTTCCACGTGAACCCACTATCTAAGCGCACACTTACACATTTTGCTGATTGGACAGAGGATACTGCGTTATTAGAGATAAAAAAAATTGTAGGCTGAAAGATCGATACTTTTGAGCTTTTTTTTTTCTCAGGAGTATGTGCAAGTCTAATGGTTACCACCACGCACAGCAAACTAAATTACATCAATAGCCGTTGTTTTGTGCACAGTGTTATATTGTTATATTGAATAACAATAGTGTTAGTAGGACGTTAAAGTTTGTATTTTTCTAATTAAATGGATATTTTGGTAAGACAAGCACCGGACTTGATGTGTGGCTACCGAGAAATTGTTTATTATGGTAATCCACACTTGGAAGAAAACATTCAAACTTAATGTATGATATCATGGTGTATATAGTGTATATTTTTAAAATGTATATAGTGCTGAATATTGAATTAGTAGGGCGGTGTTTTTAATAATGTTGTAATGAAGATTTGCGTATAACGAGCGCAGGACTTGATATTTGACTACCGGCAAATGTTATATTAAGAATCCATAAAAGCATACAGTAACTGTACTGTCATATTACAAAATACTTGGAATAAAACAATCTTAAATTTACTATATTATTTATTTATTTCGATCTAAATAGAGATACTTAAAGACCACTTTTATTGCCGTTCTTTAATTAGAGGAATTCTAATAAGAGACCAAAGCTGCTAAAGACCACTAAAGCCCCGGTGCCAAAAGTGGTCTTAAATTGGTAGGGGGCCTGTAATTATTGCAGTGTTGTCGATATAATTCTGAAGTATGTACCTTTGTCGGTGCCTTTTGTATGGTCTACACGTGGTAGAACGTAGCTTCGGTATCCATCACCATTGTACAAAGCCCAGTCAAATTTGTCGCCTATACCCTGTGTGTAATTGCACATGTCTACCTCAAAAGTGCAGCTTACGTCAGTCCTTGGCAGAGGTGGTGCCGGTGTTGGAACTGAATTCAAGGAAAAATTATACATAAATATGCCTAATTAATATCACATATGTAACAGGATATGCGACAAAGAGAGGAGAGAAGAGAAATATATTGTATATATATTATTATCGTTCTCAAAGAGTTCCACCTGGTTCTATAAATATAGTAGAGAATTATCTGTTTTGTTGTTTACCTTAGCAACGGTTTCAGCAACTACTTTGATCACTTCCTTCTAATGGACCCTTGATTGAATTGGGTCGTTCACGTTCGGTGAGTGAGTGCGCCATCACGAGTTTTAACCCCCCCCCCACCCACAATAATTTTTGAGCCAGGAATGATAATTTTATAGCCTATTATTTATTAGTCTAACATTTTAAAAAATCAACTTTTCTCACTTAGCGGTATATCTGTTGATAAAGGTTGGCCAGTGTAATTTCACTTTTATATGTAATATAATATACTTTACAAGAATCAGTAAATTTTTTACCAATTATTATTGACATCAGTATATTACTGTACTGCATCATAGAGGGATTACATAGTCATACTTACTGAGCATGTGATACAGATAACACCAACAGAATTCTACTGTTTTTCTGTTGGTTTTTCTAGTTTTTAAAAAATAAAAACCTCATTGACATTTTATCTCAGTCTATTTTTTTTCTTATTTTTAAAGCAATTTCAGCCTCGGTGTTCTTATAAAAACTGTTCTTATATATATATAAAAATAAGTCTACATCAGTTCTAGCATCCAGAAGATGCGTGCTGTGAAATACATTAAAAAAAATGCTTTCTGATGCAATCCCTTTGGACTATCACACACGCAATTTGCATTGTGAATCATGTGACTTATTATCTTGTTCGATATATTTGACTCATTGCGTGCACATACATGATTCAGGAACACTTAATCCTCAGGGAATGAGAATAACCGAGCAATTACTAATTTAGGCCTACCAAATGCAAAGTCAAGTACGTTGCGTAGATTTATTTTAATGAGCTGAAAATTAAACAAAATATCAAGGACAAATAAACACCACTGATCTCCTAAACTTCTATATACTTACAACTAAAGTAATCAAAATTTCCCCACCCCTACACCACCCGGCAAATCGTTAGCACTGCCATGAGATGACATTTCCAATGTCATTAGGATCTCACAAGTTTGACTGAAAAATTACATATTAAATTATTTTTAAACCTATTAATATTTGTTTCAACTCTGTGCTATAGGCCAACTTTTTTTTTTAAAAGTTAGTTCTAATTTTATAGACAAAGTAGTGTACAATTAATCACTGTATAGATTTACAAAAGCAAGTATGAATAAACATAACAATGTTTAAGTAAAAAATATATCTTACTCTCAGGACATGCCCCCGCGTGGACATAGACGTCATCAAGAGCAATGTCACCATATTCTCCTTCACCTCTCACTGCCTCAAATACAGCCTGGTAAAAGAAACCATTTCGTGTTTTATATTTTTATCTATTTATATAAGTATGTGGCATCACTGATTTTATTGTTTTTAATACTATTGTATTTTGTGTTTTTTTATGAGTATCTGATGGTTGTATATTTCGAAACGTTCATTTGTTATACAATAAATTTATTTTGAAATTTTTTTTACATTTTTGGATGTTTTCTACTATACTACTACTGCTACTACTACAACAACCACCACCATCACCAACATCACTACTACTACTACCTCTTCTTCTGCTGCTGCTGACCAACTAACAACAGCTACAACTGCAACAACTTTTAGCAAAGCTAATATAATTCATGGATTTACTGAGAAAGAAACTACTGGAACGGTTCACTTTCATGTAGGCACACTGTAGGTTATATTAAATTTCTCGTCAGATCTAAATTGGAAATTGTTAGTCCTCTAGATATTTAAATCTATGCTGGAAGCAACTATCCTCTGTGCAATAGTGACTACAGTACACGTTAATATTTGCAGCAATTAAAATCAGAATCAAGACCAAGACACACACTAAGTTTTAATGTCTACTCACAATAAAAGACTTCAGTGCAGGATTGACAGACACCGTTGCACGATACCATCTGTCGCCATGATCCCCAGACATCGTCCATTCTGGTGAGCCCAGTGGTGCTTTAGGATCCTTGATATAAACTTTTAGTGTCTCAGAATGACGACCGTTCATATTGTACCAGAACTCTAGGCAATTGTTAGATGTTGTGTTGAAGACGGGGGACATGATCCGGGCCTTATGTCCTGACACAACAGGATACACTGATGTCTCCAAATACATGTAAAACCCTTTACAATAAAACCAATCGACAATCAGAATATAATACAGTATATTTATACAGAAAACCGTATCATGGTTGTTTTGTTAAATAAATCTCACAACTTAAATGTTTTCATTCATTAAATGAAAATGCACTGTTCTATTGACCCAATTATTTTTGTTGAAAATATACGGTAATTTCTATTTTAGTTGTATGATAAAACAAATAATAGATATTCATATTCTTGGCACCCCACTTTGAATGGAACAGTCTATCTTTCAAATCGTGAAAACTTCATTGTACTCATAAACATTAATTTTTTGTCTCTGAAATTACACTAAACATTAACTTCAACGAAGAAGCATTGTTT